ATCTTTTCCCGTTCCCAGCAGCTCCAAGCGCGGCTCTCCCGGCTGCAGCTCCAGGATCCAGCCCTGGGCACCGGCAGATCCCAAATCTCCCCTCAGCCCCACCCCACATCCAACCTGGAGCTGCTCCCGGCTTTCTGGGATGGATCCCGAGCTTTCCCCTCACCAGTAGCTCCGTTTGAAGGGAGCAGCCACTTTCTGCACCGTSCCCAGGAAGGTGTTGACGTCAGCCACAAGAATTCCTTTGCTTTCCAGCATCTCCCTGCTGCCGCTGGGATTTTCTGCAAGAGAAGGAACAGCAGGACCATTAATTCCAACAAACGAGGTTGTTCTTAAACCTGTGGGAAATCTTAACTCCTTCTTAACTCCTCTCTCTTAACTCCTACCCAGGCTCCAAAACCCGCTGGGATTTAGGAGACCTCAAAAAAGAGATTTAGGAGACCTCATTTGCTTTTCACCGCTCGCACCCACCCCATCCCTTGAACAAGCGATTCCTGCAGGAATGGCAGGAAAAAGGGGATTTTTGATCCCTTCCCAGGGCAATTCCAGACCCAGAGGGCTCTGGGATCCCGTTACCTGTGAGATACACGGCGAACCGGGCACCCACGCGCTGCGCCTGCAGCTCCAGCAGGCAGCGGAYGCGCTGGAGCTCCGGAGCAGAGTCRCAGCCGTGGAAGGGCAGCAGCTCCGCCAAATCYGCGCGCTGGAGCTCCGGAGYAGAGTCACAGCCGTGGAAGGGCAGCAGCTCCGCCAAATCCRCTCCCTGGCACCACCGGAGCAGCAGCTGCTTCCTCCGAGCATCGTCCCTGTGGGGAGAGAGCCAAGGGAGGGTCAGGCCTGTCCCGCTCCGTCCTTCCCCAGGGAAGGAGCAGCGAGGGTGGGACCRGCCTTTCCGGGGAATTTTCCGGCCTCGGGGAGTTTTGTGTCGCTGGATGGATTGGAAATGACAGAATTCCCCCATTCCAGGCAGCTCCAGGGTGTGCTGGGTTTGACTGGGATGGGCTCTGCTTCCATCACAGCCACTGG